CAATGAAAAATCCAACGATAAGATGTTCCACTAAAAATTCTAAAGGATATTTCATTTGCATAGCTTTCATTTGAAAATATCATTGGCTATTCCAACATAGATCAAATTATATTATAATGGAATTTTAATGGATTTTTATTTCTTGTGTGAATTTTCTTTTTGGGAACATATCAATGAAAGTTGCATTGGAAAGCTAATTGCAGTGATAGATACATACGATTTCATATTGGGGGCACTATTTAGCTAATAGAAAAAATATACCATCAAAATAACATAATGTCATTACAATATTTAAATTTTACTTTTCAAAATTTGTCATCTTTCTCATTTGTAATACATGTTTACAAATCTTTACAGTTACAATAAGTTAAAAGTATTCAAAAAAAATATAATTTTTCTCAACTAAAAGTAAGAAAATCATTGAAAAAAATATATCTTTTAAAATCTGATGAACAAAAAATTTATGTTGTAGTATAGATGACTCGACAATTTTGTTGATGAATTTATAAATTATGACTAATTGATTATAATATTAATGAGAAAATTGTAATTGTATATAATATAATATTAAGATATATAAATAGATTATATATTAACACATATGACCAAAATAATATATTCTTTAAAAATCTTATGAACAAAAAATCTATGTGGTAGTATAGTTGACTCGACAATATTGTTAATTAGTTTATAAATTATGAATAATTGATTATAATATTAAAGAGAAAATTGTAATTGTATATAATATAATATTAAGATATACAAATAATTGATATATTAACACATATGACCGAAAAAATTCTATATATAATATTATGAATTTTTAAGCAAATACAAAATTTAAAAACATATGAAGAACAATATAAAATAAAAAAATATTAAATCTGAAAAATGATATTAAAATTTACTAAGTTGTAATACGTACTAATAAATATTAAAAAATAATAAATAAATATGTTATAATTAATAAAAGTAAACATAAACCTTTTAAAACTTATATTTATCAATGTAAACGAGCAGGGTTGTTAAATGCTTGTTAATTTTTGTACTTATTAATGCTATATGTAACTTTAGGTGATATACAACAGTTATTTTTACCTTTATCCATGTAGGTTAGGAAAAAAAAACACTTGATTATTCTAATTTTAAATTACTATTTATTTGCTATTAGCTTTTTACATATAATATATATAAATAGTAATTATTTTAATTATTTAACATTTAATATGTAATAAATGTGACTCAATTGGCAATTTATTAGGTAATCTTGAGATAAAATAATGAGCTACTTTAAAAAAATTATATGAATTAAAAAGTTCATGTGTTTAATGTATGTTATTAGAAAAATTGTAAACACAGTTACTCAATAACTACAACCTAAAATATAATGTATAAGAAGGAATAAAAAAAAATGGTATATTGCAATGGAAAATGCATCTGTAAGATATTCCAAAGAAAATTCCAACGGATATTTCATTGTTAAAGCTTCTATTGGAAAATTTCATTAACTATTCCAACAGAGAACAAATTAAATTACATTGAAAATTTTGTGAATTAAATCATTCCAATTACTATAATTTATTATTGTTTGAATCTCTGTTGGATTTTTTTACGGATCTTATTTCAACCGTTGAAAAAACTGTCATTGAAATTGTAAAAAAATTAATAGAAGTTCTATTGAAAAACTAATTGCAGTGGCGGATCCAAAATAATTTTATATTGGGCACTATATAGTAATAGAAAAAGTATACCATCAAAATAACATAATACCATTACAATTTATAAATTATACTTTACATAATTTGTCATGTTTCTAACTTGTAATACATTCTAACACATCAGTACAGTCACAATAAGTTAAAAAGTACTTAATAAAAAAAAATGACGATTTTTCTCAATTCAACATAAGAAAATCATTGAAAATAATATTTTTTTAAAAAAAATTATAAACAAAAAATCTATGTTGTAGTATAGCTGACTCGGCAATATAATTGATTAATTTATAAATTACGAATATATAACTAGAATTCCCCTTGCATTAGTTATAAAAGACATAAAAAATATATTTTGAAGATATAGAAAAAAATATGTTGCAAAAGAGAGATTTGAAACTGTCATCAAGATTGAAATAATATAATTAGAGGATAAAATTGTAATTTTGAGATATATTATATTTTCTTTAGTTGTGATGCCGCGTTTATGTTATAACATTAATAAAGTTATGAGTTGAATTAAATTATAATTGGTTGAGTTGTAAATTAATTCATTATGTATCTTTCTTTCTTTCAATTTCATTTTTAAAATAGGAGACATGATAAAAATTATGAAAAAAATGTTCCCACAAATTTTTATTAGATTCCTTACGCTATATGCTTTAGGATTGAGGGTTGTGTTGGATCTACAAAATAAACATAGATCTGCTCATGATTCTAATAAAATATTTTTGCTAGAATTAGATTCCTTGTGGCATATTTTTCTTACATAGATCCAAAAATTCATACTAAGAAAAAACAAAAAATGGATGTAAATATACAACTATCACCAATATTAACTATGTGAATTAAAAGGAGAAATAAACGAGTTGTATGTGAAATTTTATTCAACTAACACATAAATTCAATGAGTATGAAAATGAGATAGTTGCTTAATATTTTTCTCAAACATTGGAAAAAGATTCTAAACCTTTTAATCTAATAATCAGTATAAAAGTATATTTTTTTATTAAATATATTATTTTTATAAATATATAAATAAATAATATTAAATTTTATTTTATCTTATGTGATTATATTAGTTGTTGTCTAATAAATAAGATATTTTGATAACAACGTCATTATATGAAACACGTACAAAAAATGATGCAATACATATAAATGTGCTAGAATTCTTTTAATAAATAAAATATTATTTATCAATAGAAATAATAACTAATAAAATAATAGTAGTGGAATTGAAAAAAGAAAACGTCTGAATTTTCTTAGACAAGTATGAATACCAATATTTTGAAACAAAAAATCTTTTAAAAATAATACTTTATTTGTTGCTAGCGTTTAAATATATAGACTATGTAAGAAATTAGATCTCATAAATGATGATCCTATATTATCAATTTTTAATTTTAAATAATTAAAAATATAAAACTTTATAATACATAATGTAGATTTAATAATAATTTCGTAATAATAACGTTCAAAGATGACTAAGAGTCATAAAATAGAATTTTAATTTATTCTCATCTCAAATATTTTAACAAATGAAATGCTTCTCAATGTTGTCTCATTGTTTTTTTTTGTTTGATTTTGTCATTGGTGAAGAATCAAGAAAGGAACTTTATCTCGAGTTTTTTTTAGTATTATGTATGATGCATAAAGTTGGACGATAAAAGCATTAAAAAGTTATTGGACACATAGATATTACAAATCCAAACGAATGTGAAAGATATGAAGATAAATAATTCTAAAATCATTGCAAGAACTAGATGGTCAATGATTTGCAAACAATAGATTATATAGTTCGTCTATCTTCCAAATAAATGACATTGAAAATGAAACGTTGGAGCCTGATCAAAACATTTTTGAATGTTTGTATGAAGTTGACACTTCTTATAGGAATATTTATAATTTCATTGGTGTATTGTGCTTGAACATATGTGCAATTATTTTATAGTATGAACTTTTAGTTAATGTGTGATGATTTAAAAAAAAAAAAAACCTCGGGAAAAGTACATGTAATAGATATTTTGAATAGTCAACTTTTATTTAGAGATGAAATTCCTTCCCTTCCGTAGAGAGATACATCCATGGGGTAGGTATCAATAATTTGTCGATATATATAGAGAGAGTAATTTAATAGTTTATACAATGATAAAAATAATCAATAATTTTAATGACACGATTTATTATTTTGCAGATATATTCATGCATGGTTAGTAGAAATATAAAGATAATACAACCATGAAGTTTCACTATATGTTTGGTTAGAATATTTCTTAAGTGTTTGAATAAAGTAGACGTTTTGCCAAATGAATTAAGATGAATTTTGCAATACTATTAAATCAATAATGCTTCTTATGAGGACGTCAAAACCAAAATGAAAGAGAATGCTATCGAATCATCTAACATAAACAAATAAAATAACTAATGCATGTATAATATATATTAGTCATTATTTAGTTATTTAGTGCTTTTGTTGGGGTTGTAATATGTTATTTAATTATTTTTATATTAGGACATCGTTAAGTTATTTTGAAAAAAATAAATTGTTTCTATATTTTGTTTCATTAATGTGTTCTACATTTTGTTTCATTCTTGCAAGGATATATTTAATAAATTAATTTATTTATTTTATAAAACTTAATCGGCAAAAAACAATTACATTATGAGCTCATTTGTTCTACGTTTTATTTCATTCTTGCAACGATATTTTTAATAAATTAATTAATTTATTTTACTAAACTTAATTGGGAAAAAACATTCGCCACCACGTGCATCGCACGTGCACTTTACTAGTGAGCTCAAAAAACCTAGCTCAAGCCTCATCGAGCTAGATTATGCTAAAAGTTCCAGAAATTGCGAGTAAAAACTTATTTATCAAGCCCAAAAAACCTAGCTCGAGTCATGACAAGCCTAGCTCAAGCCTAACTCGAGTCATAACAAGTCTAGCCAAACTCACGAGCAACTCGTTTCCTTAACATCACTCCTAATTTCTATTCTCTAATTTGTCTCGTTCATTAATAATCAAACTATTAGAAAAAAAAAATGAAAGAAAAGAAAGGAAGAGGAAAACTGCTAAAAAAAAAGGAAAAGAGGTAGCAAGAGAACAATAGAGTGCGAGACAGGGCAAACATACAATCAGCCATTTCACGTTCAAAATCCGTTTAGCAGATACAAAAGAAGAAAGATCAAGATAAACCCAAATGCTCAATCAACCCAGAAATTTGTGCTCTTAACAAAAGTTCAAAAGCCAGGAGAGCAAACCCCATAAAAAACGAAAGGCACACACACACACACACACACACACACAATCAGTGCAAGCTACGTAGTATCCCATGCAAATACCCGCCACTCATCACCAACGACGTGAACGCCACCACACCTGCCGGAAACACCTTCCCCGACTTCCGGAATCTTCCTCCCATCACCACCAGCAGCAAAGCCGACACCCCAAGCCCCAGAACCGAGGCCTGCACGGGGGCCCGAGGCAGCAGATTGTAAACCCAACCCAAAACAAACGCCGAAAACAGGCCGCTCGCCAGCGATTTCACGCTTCCGGCCTTCACATAGCCTGCCATCCCGCCTATCACAATCAGCCCAGCGTACCCCAACGTTAGCTTCTGTGACATGGAAAGGCCCGGAGGTTTTTTTTCGTGGGCCCCACCTTCGTCTTGACCCTCGCCGGAAGGCCCATCTCCGTTCCCGTCACCTCCACCGCCGCCGCTGTTGCCTTTGAAATTGTCGTCGGGGCCGCCAGAGTCCGGCAGGATGTCGAAGCCTCCGCCGGCCGAGTCGACCGTGAAGGTGGTCGGGACCTTGGAGTCCGAGAAGGCTCGGGCTTGGATGGTTGTGAAGGGAAGATTCGGGTTTTGGTTCGCTAACGAGATAATGACGGGGGAGTGTACAGCTGGCGAGGTTGAGTGGCGGCTGGTGATGAGGTGTACCCGCCTTGGTGGGGAGGGGCGTGATGGTAATAGAAGAGATGACTGTGAAAGTGACGGGATGCTTGCCATAGTATAGCTGACTGATATTGAGATTTTTTTTTAATCTAAAATCTAGTATTTAGGGGGAATATTTGTGTTTTCTAGGAAGTCCGGTGTTTGGGTTTCGAGGTCTCTGCAAACTCCACGAAAATCAAACGCCCATCCACAATCTGCAGGTGAAGGGACCAAATGACATCAAAGAAAATTGATAGGAACATTCCAGGAGCAATGACGAATCAAGACTTTAGAAATTGTATAAATATTGCTGGTTTTGTTGAAGTCTAAACACTTTAACGTTCTAAAGAGAATACAGAACCACTCAAGGCAATAGATTGAGATCAGGGATCAACAGATTGCTGGGAGAAAACAAAATACAATCCATCTCTCATAAATCAATTCATTTTTTTAGGACTAAAAATTGTCCCAAAATAATTGTCTTTATAAGAGTTCAAGACTTGATCTTTTTCACGTTCATCCCTCTATGCCGGTACTACTATTCTCAACACAACACTTTACTCCAACTATGGTAGTTGAAAAGCATGTATGACTGGACTTAAAAGTTAAAACGACAACTAACCTGGCCGAAACGTCTACATTATCTACAAAGGTTCCTGATTTACTATTTGAGAAGGTAAAACTTAAAGTCGGTGGAAAATAAAAGCAGCTAAATGCACTATCTATACAGCACTATATTTTAGAGGTACAGAACTAACTTATCTAAGGGTTCGGAGACAATTCCAAATTAAACAAGATTCATTAACTGTATCTAAATTCATTAAGTGGTTAAAAAAATGAAAGTTCATGGAAACACAAAGATACTACAACAAGAAAATACAATTCGGGCAAAAGAAATGATCGTAAAAGACAGGCCTTTACCCTCCCATTCATAGCCTTCAACGCATTTTGAGCTTCAAGTTCTGAAGCATATTTGACAAAACCAAATCCCTTAGGCCGTCGGGTCCTGGGGTCTTTTACAAGCCTTACTGCAACAGCGAATGATGATTAAACGAATAAAATGACACAAACATGAACATCAAATCAAAAGCTCATCTCTTTACCTTCCTTAACAACACCAAAAGGCGAGAATAACCTCTCCAATTCTCTAGTTGTGATGTAAAACGATAATCCTAACAATTTAAAAGCCAAGTCAACCAGGAAACGAATCAAAATGAAGGCTTAGAAAGATACGAAAAGCAGAACTGAGAATATACAAACGATCCTTCATGCCAAACATTATCAGGAAAACACTGAAGGAAGAATACATACTGCTAACGAACAGCTCAGAAGCAAGTCGATTTGCCATGTGAACTTAGAATCGCCATACCTTTTGCAACAGTTTCGAACTCAGTTTCGACACTCGAGGAGTGATGAGGTCCCGATCGCGAAAAATTTGGTGGCTAGGGTTTTCAAGTGAAACAATATACCAATTGGTTGGGGCTATTTTTGTCCATTCAAAGGATTTACCATAGCCGAAAGATTGGTAAATCTCACTTATAAATAGTCAATTTTAAACTTATGGCTTATGATTTAGAACTCAAAAGTTACTTTATATAATAAAAATGTTTGTAAAATTAGTTGATAAATTAGATGATAAATTTGAGATTTTTTAAAAACTACGTTATACTAAATCTAATTTATTTGAATACAGAAAATTTATAAGCTAATCAAATAAGTTATAAGATAATTTATATATTTACTAAACACAACTTTAATAAACATCGCTCAGTAATTAATCGAGCTATTTTCAAACATTAATGAATAAAGTTTGAATTATTAACTAAACGAGTTAAAATTCGATTTAGAATTGGTTCAAACTTTAATGAGTCGATACATTTTCACGAGTATCTCGTGTCGTTTTAGCATTATTATATGACCTATAAAGTTTATTATTTAATTAATGATGGTTTAATCAGCATTAGAGCTTCTTAAAGTGAGAATAATGTGAAAAACAAAAAACAAAACAAACGAGCTTCAGTCCACAGTAGCAGCTTCCGCCAACTGCAGATGCAGACCACTTCGAACCGCGATCCGGCGGGTCAACCGACCGCGGGCCAGGGACCCGCTTTCAGAATCGGGCAGAGGGTCCATTTTTGCGGGCAACCCAGGAGAATCGGGACGGTCAAGTACATGGGCCCCGTGGAGGGCTTCTCCGGTGATTGGGTGGGCGTCGATTGGGATGCCGACGGCGATGGCAAGCACGATGGGTCCCACAATGGCGCCAGGTACTTCACGGCCAGGGGTCCCAAGACGGCGTCTTTCGTGCGGGCCCACAATCTGAGCGCAGGGGTGTCGCTGTTGGAAGCACTAGAAACTCGCTATCGAGGTGCCTCTACTAAGGAAGAGGAAGGTAAAAGAGCTGGAACCAAATGATACGAGTTGCGTTGTAATTGGTACATTGTCTGAAAATGAGAATGTTCGTCCTTGGATTAGTTTTGCTTGAGCTCTGGCTATGATCACATTAAGCGGCATCTCGTAAATTGTGGAATTTGACACTTTCAGACTATAAAAATGTGAACTTGTTTTTTCTTGACTGTGTACCCTTGTGTTTCTTTTAAGAGAGAGTAACTGATGGTTTTCCTTTCCATTTAAAGCTACCATTGTTAGTAAAAAACCAGCTATTACATAATGTAGCTGCAGTGTGGTACTGTTTCTTTTATGTTCGTACAGATGTATCATAAGTGTGTAAATTTGCCACTACTTTTGTAGTTTAACATCTGTTGTTATGTCCGAGAATCAAGAGTTGTGGCATTATTCTGAAAGTGTATACTTTTATCTAATTCAGCAATCAATGTGATCTAGATATTAAGTTTCTTTGCTTTTTCATTTGTGTATAGCAGGATATATCAGAATTCCAGATATCTTTTGAAGTTTATACAACCATCTTTGTGTTGGTTTCCTTTTAATCTCTTCTTACTTGAAATTACTGTGCGGATTTAGTTATTTTATGTATTGTGTCTCCTTATAGAGGAGATGTATGTCCTTTCTGCAACAAACAAGAGAGTGTCAATCGAGCTTCTTGGGAAAAACAAAGTTGAAGAGAAAATGAGTCGACTTGAGGAGTTGACGAGTGCATCGTTGTCTTATTTGGGAGTCAGTAATCCTGGGAACCCTGAACTCATCAGTTCAACTCTACCAAGTAAATTTTGTTTCACCTTATTTAAATAGACTAACTCCTATCTTCTTATTATACTTTAGCAAATGCTTACTGCCTATGCTCTCTAATGTGGACCTATCAATGGCTTAATTTATTTAATGATTGTTGCTCAACTATTTTTGTCCCTTTTATATTAAACTATCTTTAAACTCCTAAATGCTCTTTGCAGATATTAAGGAGCTCGACTTGACTGGAAACCTACTAGATAACTGGGAAGTATGTGATCCTTGCTCATGCACTAACACTGATGGACTAATTTTCATGCAACTGCAATTTTTCTTGCCCTGAAGTACAAAACAACTCAGATATTGCCTTAATAAGGAGGAAATGGACAATTTTATGTGCTATATTCTTTTTAGGGAGAGTATTACTATCAGTACCAAATCAAAGCTATTGGTTTGTTAAAATAATTGACTGGTCTGCTTCTGCATGAACAAAGATATAAAATTATAGTATTGGTTTGGAAATTTAGTAAGTACATGATGACCATACTATTCTTTGAAGACTTGTTCTGTGAGGGAGGTGTTACATTTAGATTTAGTTATATAAAAAGACAACTTTTGTGGTTGTCCCAGCAGGATATTGGTGTTTTGTGCAAAGGATTGCTTGCTCTCACAACTCTCAATCTGTCCAATAATTACTTGTCACCCGATATTATTAATGTCTCCCAGTTTGGCAATATTCGCGTTCTAGTCCTGAACCAAACAGGGGTAATCTGGAAGCAGGTGGAGCTCAACTCTTTTGTGGTCGTTTTTTTTAGGTCAACGGTTGATTCATTTTATAGAATAATTCATTTAATTTCCAGGTTGAGGTTCTTAAAGATTCACTCCCACATGTTGAAGAGCTGCATCTGATGGGAAATGAATTAAAGGAAATAACGGTCAGCAACACCTATGACTCTGCAGTTGTTGCTTTTCTTGTAACTTTGTAAAGATAAAAGTAGTTTTCATTTCTATCCAATGATCTCTAAAATTATCTTTTCCTTGTTTTGTTCATTTATTCCGTGGCAGAAAAGTAAAAGAGTAGTTTTAGACTGGGTACAAGTAAATGATGATATTATAATATGCTATATATATATATATATAAAAAAAAAAAAAACNATAAAAAAAAAAAAAAGTAATTGTCTCGTGCGAAAGGCAACATAATATATAGTGTCATTTTGTGAAGAAGTGATGACATTAAGGAAATATTGAGTGTCGGCATCAAACATCATCTGCAGCCTGATGGTACTAGCAGGACTGCAGGAGAGTATAAAAATGAGTCGGTTATTTTAATGAACTCATTTGAACTACTTCGGAATAATTTTGTAGTGGAGTAGCATGGGCTATTAGAGATAATATCTCACTGAAAGGAGAGTTATCATTATTTATGAGTGATGAAGTGAAGCTATGCTATTTTTTAATCCAGTGAAAAGCATTTATGAATCTTCAAGCAACCATGAAAAAGAGAACCACTTTTCTCTTTGTTGCTTCTCACTGTCTGTGAAGAAGTGACTGCCTCTTGCCTTGTGAAACTGCCATCTGAAATAAGTGCGCCGTGTGTTATTTATAGCATTTGCATTCTAATGTCCTTTTCCTAATAACATTCTATCTTGCTTTCCAGCCATTATCTTCAGGGGTTGTCCAAGGATTTAATTCTCTAAAACTTCTTAACTTGGAAAACAACTCTATATCTGATTGGAATGAAATCATCAAACTCTCTCACTTACCCAGGTACTGAGGAGGAAGGCATAGGCATGGTCAAACTTTTGTTTTCTATATTAATAGCTATAATGGAGTTTTGAAATTGTATTGAGATTTTGTCTCATGGTTTCTGTTTTCAGCCTCGAGCAGCTTTTCCTGAACAACAATAACATAAATCGTATCTGGTATTCTGATTGTGGTGAATTGGGTGAGCCAAACAGTGGGTGTGAATCTCATGATAAAAGTTTCAAGCCTTTCAACAATTTGTGCAGCCTTTCTTTGGGTACAGTAAAGCGACTCCACAACACATTTTTTTCTTTACGGGATCCATTAGTTCTGGACATGAACTGACTGGTTACTGTTTCAGGGGGAAACAGCATTGAAGACCTGGAATCTGTTGATTCACTTAACTCCTTTCCAAACTTGATAGTGAGCATCATTTTTGTTAACTGAGTTGTGATTGAATTTGGTGCTATTTGTAAATGGAATGTTCACATATATCACTATATGCATTTTTTTTGTGTGTGTGTGTGGGTGTGTTCAGAACTTCTTGTGTTTGAGCATGAGTCAAAATGTCAGACATAGTGCATTGAAATGAGACAAATATCATTTGACTTCTAGTTTGCATGCTTTATGTGTGAAAGTGCTGGTTAATATTTCTGTTGAATCTCTGAATAATTTTTCTGAATACTTTATTGTTGCACAGGAAACTAGATTGTCCGGAAATCCTGTGACAGATCTGGGGAAAGGGGGTGTTCCTAGATTTGTCTTTGTTGCTCGTTTAGCATATATTATGATACTAAATGGAAGTGAGGTAATTTCCAGTAATGCTTTTTTCCTGCTAGCATAATGCTACCTGCTTTTGGTTATTGCAGATTAGTCCTCGTCTTCTTCTGGAAAATGATTTTTCCTGCTAGCATAATGCTATCTGCTTTTGGTTATTGCAGATTAGTCCTCGAGAACGGAAAGATTCTGAAATCCGGTATTGTTTACCTTCAGAATGCTAATCATAACATAAATATAAATGTGTAGATATATATGAGTGCATGCATTAACTAACCTTAGAAAATTCTTATAGATGATTACGGAAAAGAAAAAAAAAAAAGAAAAAAAAGGGTGGATCAATTAGTTGCAAAATTGATACTTTTAGGAAAGCAAAAAGAATGTAGAGCTCGAAACATTAGTAACATCCCATTTGTTAAAGTACCATGAAGGCTCGTGACATTATATATTTTTGCATGGAAAGCATCCATAAAGATAGAGTTAATTCCCCCATGGTGATTGGCGAGATTGATAAAATAAAGAATCTGTTATTTGTATCGATTTTCACTTTCCGATGTGTAATATTATCTGGGGTTTTCCTGCAGCTATGTTCGCTTGGTAATGTCAAAGGTTAATGGCAGTCCAGAGGAAATTAGCAAGCTCCATCCAAGGTATCATTTCTTAATGTTCCTTTTCCAGTTATCTTTAACATCTGCTAGTGCACGGCCCAGATAGTGAAGCATTTTGATGATATAATATTATTCATAGCTGTTACAAATGTGTATAAGTGGAACGTTTATTTCAATAGTATCCCGGAAATGAACACTAACATTTGTTCCATGAGTACTCAACAATCAACATCCTATAGTTTTTCTCTATATGATGAGATATCAAATTATCACTCTAACTCGTTCTTTATATGGATTTGACAAACAGGTTTGCTGAGCTTAAAAAGACCCATGGACTTGAAGATGAAAGACCTTCGATAGGGGGATCGGGTGCTCAAAACAGAGCTTCCGGATTAATTTGTATGAATGCTGTGTTCATTTAAGCCCTCGTGACTTAAAGCCGTATTTTGAATTTTGTACTCGTAATTGCAGCTATAACCTTGAAATGTGTTGGGGCATCAATGGGTGAAAAGTCCCCAGTGGTGAAAAAGCTACCAGCAACCACAACGGTGATTATTCGACAAAGTTTCACAAGGCTGGAATTTCTTTTTAAGTGCTTGATGACCTTTATGAGTTATATAACATGCATGATTTCTATGTGACATTTTCTTTAAGTTAAAGTCCATCAAGCCAATATTGTATCTCCAAGAAGAGGTTTGTGCGAAATTCCCTCTGTACTCTTTTTTTTTTTTCTTCATTTTTGTTTGGCGTTGTGTTTTGTTTTGCATACATAAAGTACTAACTTTCGTGGATCTTCACATACAGTGTTCCCCTTTACCTACATTGCTTGAGGATGATGCGGCTTCTCTTAATGAACTAGGGGTGGGGAATGAATCCACCATCCTTGTAGATGAGCAATCTTGATGTTTTGACTATTGTCAAGGATTCATGTTTGCTTGTCTTCTCAAGGTGATAATATTTGTCACGTTTTGTAAGGTCAAAAATGGAGGATTACACTGCGGTGCAGGCCGTGAACTGGATACCAACTTGGCTACGCTTCACTTGATACTTTTACTTTTTTGTTTTTCTTCAATTGTTGATCTAGTATATTTGTGTAGTCCAACACTTGACTTGATAATTTGACTGTTGTTACTCTTCAATTGTTGATGTAGTATATTTGAGAAAGTAGTTTTTTATGAACGGGATAGATCCAAAGTCAGTATTGTGCCATTTGTGCTTTTTGGAATTTTGCAAGTCAATTAGTCTTTTTCTGTGAAAAGATCAGAATTGAACGGTATATTGTATATAATAACCTACTGTATTCTTTTGAGCAAGGGATCTTTCCAACCAACATTTCACTCAAACGAAATGGCAGAATCCATCAGTAAATGAGGGTGGATCGAGAGGGAGATGGACAAAATATAAGTTGATGAAAAGTTAAAGGTGTTCGATTATGCCGTACGGTGTCACAGGTACTCCTGGTAGAAATTAATCAGAAAGACAATCGATTACAAGTTGTAACTAACAGACGGTCCAAGGAGAACACTTTCCAACAAAATCAGTCTCACTAGGAAGACACCTGTTTAACGATTCCCACCATACATTTGAGTAGTAGCATCATATTGCGGTGGTGCCTGTGCAGGCACATTCCCATACCCTGCTGACTGATCATACCCGGGCTGGGGCTGGGGCTGGGGCTGGGGCTGGGCATAGCCAGCCTGACCCACACCTGTCGCAGGATAAGCAGCAGTTGGGCCCTGATAAGCAGCTGGATCGGGCTGCCCCTGATGATAGCCGTACCCAGCAGCATTGTTGGTGGCAGCAGCAGCTGGTGGTTGCTCAGCATAACCCCCGGGCTGAGGAGCCTGATACGAGCCATAGCCTCCCGTGGGCCCCGCCTGAGGATACGCTGGCTGTTGCTGCTGGGCTCCAGGTTGACTGTATGCAACGGGCGGCCCATACCCAGAACCGGCTGCAGCCGTGGTGTGGGGGTGGCCATACCCATCGCTGGTTGGTGCAGAGCCGTAACAGGTTTGTTGTGTGGGTCCACTGGATGGGTAAGGGTAAGACTGCTGTATGTTCTGACCGTGATACGGGCCTTCACCGGGCTGACTGGGCCTGGGCTGGCCATAGGGTTGAGAATGTGGTGGCTGATGCATCATGCCGTACATGGGTGGCTTACCATATTGCGACTGCTGAGAGTATGGAGTGGGCTGAGGCCCATAGTGTTGTGGTGGAGCATGCTTCTCATACTTGGCCTCGTACCCATGACTGTATGGTTGAGAGTATGGAGGTGGATGTCCATAATCTGGGCCCACCTGCTGCCCGTAGTTGTAATTGCCCTGGAAAGGAAGGAAAATAGGTAAGGGCAGAATATTTGTGATTACCACCTAAGTAAATATATTATGTACCCAAAATAAAAAAAAAAACGGAACATACGACCAACCTGAGGTGAGGGTCCGTGCATTGATGTTGGAGGCCTTTGATCCCAACTTGGGCCAAAGTTGCTTCTTGGAGGAGGATGATAACTACCATACGATGGAGGTGGATATTGCGAGTTTTGAGGAGGATATGCTCCTCTCTGCGGATAATCATAACCAGAGTATTGAGAACCACCACGAGGCCCCCATTGTGGAGCAGTGGGCCCATGTGGAGGACGATACCCCTGCTGGCTGTATCCGCCAGACACAGGTGAAGGCCTTACAGTCTAAACAAATAATTTGAGTTAGAGAAAGTAGCTACCTATCAAACAAGATAATCCCACTACAACCAAACATTAGGTACAATCTGTGCAATAGCTCATTAACTCATCTCTTAGCTTGAAACTATTAAGAGAATAGTTAACTAATAAAAAAATGGCACCACGTTGGCAATTAAAACAAATTATCAACAAGCATATGAAGCAAGCAATTAACCATTGAGATGACAAATTGCTCGTATATGACAGTCCCTTGTACACAGAACACTATAAGAGTCGAAGCATAACTCAGCAAATGTAAACTAAAAAGTTCCATTCAAAATGTCGACATGTGAACATAAACTGTAATACAAATGCAGCTAAAATAAAGGTAATAGATATATTGAGGACCCAAGCAAGAAATCGCAATTTAATAGATATGTATGGTAAAACACCCCTAATGAATTAGCATAAGAAACGTTTCAGTATGAACGTAAGGTCCAGACTAAACACCTTCGTAGAATATAGTTAAGCATTTGTTCATATGATTATATTTAAGCCAAATTCAATCTGGCAAAAATAGGAGTTCTTCTAGTTATTCTATGAATTGCAGGAGCTTCAAACAAGCAACTATGTAATTCTCCCTCCACTCACAAAAAGATCTCCAAGCAAGCAATTCAATTCTGACAATGGTTTTACCGCTACACATGATAGACTGTTCAGTGACGGATGTCGGTGGATAGCAACTGAAATTTGCTCAGAAACAATAACTGTTTGAAACTATGTCAAATATCTAGATGCCATCACCTTTTGAAAGGAATACAATTAGAAGAAAGTCGAGCAATTAGCAAAATTATTTGATTATATATATTCAATCTACTTCATGGAGATTATTTGACCACAAGAGGCACCATTTGGATTTCTGAAATATTATCATCAGGCATGCCACATAGCCTTATTAGTAGCACTACTATCAGTTTCTAAGTCTCAAAGCAATCTTACCAACCATTAACATCCCGGAATGATGAGGTTTAATGCTTGAAACCTCTCTTCTGATGACGCAAGGGATAGTGGTTGTCTATTGATACACCAAGAAGGCAATGCGAACTGGAAGGAAAAGGAAAAGCCAAATCTGCATTTTTAAAGTCAACCAATGCGAAATTGGCACTTTCAAGACACATAAATTCACGCCAACTTGTTTGGAATTTAAGGCCTTCCTAGCAGCATTCAAGTGACCTTGTTATAGCATCAAGTAAACAGCCCCTCAGTGTTTTGGCATCATCAAAAGATTTCTCATCACATGGAAGGCATCAGTTAATTGCATATATTATTATAAAGACCTGGTTAAACCATCCAATAATAATGTGACTGCCGGTCAATCAAGATATTCATCATCAGTCCAAATAAAGATGTTAAAATCCAAACATCAATTATGCTCTTAATGCTAATCAAGGATAACATTTATCAGAGAAGCATAATATCAAAACTGGACTGGTCCTAGCCTGTGATGCAGATACCAATATTCAGTTCTTAACACACACACACACACACACGCGCTCGCGCACACACACACAAACAAAAAATGAGAGAAAGAAAATAACATATAAGTCTCCATCTGGCCAAGATATAGTCCACAAATTTTAGTCTTACAAATGATGGTCTACATCTAAATATTGCAGAACACCTCCACCAATCAGAAGTACAGGAACCGGCATGCACCTCAAAAATTTTAACTACAGTAGCAATTTCCATGGCAGGCATCTAGATTAAAATGAGGAAAATAGTGCCATTCCATGTCTATATTGATTAAATCTAACAGTCATTCTTAAAATCGACAGGTAAGAAGATTTCACGGTCATGAGAATAAGGAAGAGAACATATTTACATTTTCAAAACTAACAAATCAAGAAGACAGGTAGCTCCACTAAAAACAAGTTAGCACAAAAAAAAAAAAAAGAATAACAATTATAACAAGTGAAACTATAAATGTTTATTACATGGCAGAAGCGTTAAATTAAATTGAGAAGGGAAAAGTGTATGCAACATCGTCAAAATGCTAAGAGAGGAGAGGACACATCCAGACGAACCTGATTCATGACATCTTTGATCATTTCCCTTGCAGTATCAATCTGTCTTCTATAACCACTGATGCGTACAATTCTCTCCTTAGGTTGTTCTCCATCAGAGAGGTTTTGTTGTATCAACTAGACCCAAATAAGAGGTGGACTTCATCCATCAGCTTCAGCAATACAAAGTATACAAGCAAATGTGCACGTCAATTACCTGAATGCGTGCCCTTGATCTGGTCTGCAAGTTCCTAATTGTTTCTCCACCCTTCCCAATGATTAAGCCAACCTAAAGTAACAAGCAAATGTTATGCCGCATTCCAAAACAGTCAATGACAGATAAAACGACAGCAGAAGACATGGTGGATAAAACATACCTTCTCTATAGGTACTTGAATTTCAACTTGTTCGCCACCGCTTGCAGCCTGTACAGTGTTGAATCCACGAGCAACAAGGGAAGGTGAACCTCCAGCATCAGCCTAGAATACACTGTCAGATTCATACTAGGTACTTGTGGAAATGCATGGTAATACAAAATACATTCTATGAGTAACAAGGAAGAATAACTGCAGTGTATAAGATATAAATATAAAAAAAAATCCCACCTCAGCAATTACACCCTTTATCAACTTCTCTGCTTTGTTGATATCTTCCAAAGTTCCAACTAGTTCCACAGGTCTTGAGGTCGACCGAGGATCTGCGTCAGCATCCCTCATAATCTGAATTTTGGCACCTGAGTTGTCCTGGAGGGACCTAATAGTATCACCTGCCTTGCCAATGAGAACCCCAACCTAGAAACACAGAACTACTGTTACAACCTTTTATAATATACCAATCCCATATTAGAACTTAAAAGTCAGCTCAAATTTCAACTAGCATTCTCTATGCAACTTCCAACCTATCTCTACAATGCACAAAAACAGAAGCTCATAGGCACAAACTTTTTAAAAAATTGTATTTATCTTTCATCCATCGGTAAAGATGTGATGCAGACGAGATCCAAAGGAGGTTTCGTAAATTTCAACATGAGTTACCATTTTTACTATCAAACTGATAGAAGTTTATTCTGAATACTAAATCACATATTAACATTCTTCAAAAACTATTTTGAGAGCAATATAAACAAAATTGACAACTGACATGCATTGTGATAATGATATTCAAAAAATATATGAAAAAATATATGTATATATATATGCATCAAGTTACTCAACCAATTCACCTTGTCGCTGGGAACTTCCATTTTGCGAGACAGTATTTGCCTGCCTGAGTTTGATCCCCTTTCAGCAGAGTGAACTGGAACGTCCCCCTCTCTAGGAAGTTCAGAAGGTTCTTCATTTTCAGCATTCGGTTGTCCTAGTTCATCGTAACTGCCAAGCTCAGTTTTCTCATTCTCATCAGGAGTTGGTTCTTGAACAATTGTCTCAACAGGAGCTGCAGAAGGTTCTTGATCATTAGGTTCTTTTGGAGGTTCTTGATTCTCCAGAGGTTCTACATTAGCAAGTGCAGACTCTAGATTCTCAGGTTCCACCTCTGCAGGCTCATCTCTCTTCTCCTCCTCTTGGTGTCCATTCTGTGAAACTGCCAAGGAAATTTATCAGTGAGTAAGTAGCAGATATAATTATAAGTTTAACCCCAAATTCCCCAATAGCTTTAACATAACAATTCACACCAACTTTTAGGGGAAAAAAAAATGATGCAAAATGGCACAATAATTTCTAACTATAGCCTTCAATGAAAATGCATGTACCAGAAGAAAATTATGTTCTGATGCAATACATGATCAGTAGGCGAAGAAAGTCACATGGATGTAAATAAAAAGATATATCCACTTCACCCAAAATGTTACTTTCTATTAGGCAACATAATGCACACCCTTCACATTTCATACCATTTTTCACCTCAAAGAATCAAACTTGCACCATTCCATAATGAACTCACTTCGCATTTCACCCAAAGAATTAAACTTGAACAGTTGAACACAGCTCTCCATCCAAATAATTAAACCGTGAACTCACTTCGCACAACGCTGAATTTCAGAATAAAAAATGACAGAAACATTGAGGATAAAGATGTGTACGTAGCAGAAATCACCTTGGACATTGCCCTCTTTCTCGGCCTCGTCTTCAGCTTCAGTGACGTTGTCTCCATTACTCTCCAAACGGGGCCGCTTCGATTCCGCTCCCTCACTCTCCTCTGCTTGCGTCCCATCATTTAACGTCTCGGGGTTGTCATCCTCGGCCTCAGCGACTGGTTCCGCCGCGTTGCTGAGCTCCAAATCGTCGAGCTTCCTCTTGTGGCTGTCTGCGGCGGCTGAGTCGGAGGTGATGGCAGCGGCGGCGGCGGCGGATGCCACCTGGCCATCTTCTGATGACGCTATTACTCTGTCTGCCATAGTTTTTCTTCAGATCGGATATTCAGATGACGTCTGCAGGTTCTAGGGTTTCCACGAGTTACTACGTGGGCGAATTCTGAGCTTTACCCGATTAGATCGACTCTGTCACTCTTATCTGAGCAATTTTGGGTTCGCAATACGTACGCGTGCCGGCGTGCGTGATTATATTTGGTGGGCCTGGGCTCGCCAGCTAGGACATCCAATAGAAAGTGGTTGTCGGCTACTACATTGGGCCACCGAGCCCAAATAACCACCAAAATTGGACCTGTGCTTGATTCTTTAGGGACTGTTTGGATACACCAACTTTTCCTTATGATTAGATATTCCATCTCCCAAGTCCCAACCTTGATATAACATATGAACATCTGGCTATTATGTGTACATTGGGGCACGGGTTAATATTTTTACTAACTGATGTAGTACAAGATTATTATAACATTCAAGACTGAGTGTGGTGTTTAAATATAATGAGATCGTGGCATGTGATTAATAAGTTGTATCACGATGGATAAATAACACTCCCAATGCGGGCTGGCTGTGTTTCGATGCCTATCATGATTGCATCACAGAATCACAGCAAATGAAAGTAAGAACCAAAGATTTATTCATTAAAGAAACTTATGTCCAAAGAGAAAAGTTAACACGAAAAGTTCAAATGAAACAAGATAAAGGCATTAACATATCTAATATGATTGACAAATTCACGTCATGCTTCATTCGTCATGCCTTGAATTAGTTGTATGGAATATTCTGTAAGAAAAATGGTTTTTGTACTGATTTAACGATTCTATTTTTCGTAAGTAGAAGACTTAGGAAATTCTCAAAACCTTTTTAAGGTGAATGATAAATTAATTCTAAGTGTTATATGTTAATTAATTGAGTTTAAATAACTCAAAGATTGTAGGGTTCGCAAACATTCTGTTTTGACAAATGTTTGGACAAATTAAACGAGCCATAATTATGCATTATGTATGCTAGTATTGTAGAAGAGCTCGTACGGGACAAGTAGGAAAAAACGGAACTCGATTCCGAGTCCGTATGAGCTCGTACGAGCCCGTAGCACACGAGCGCGCAACTGGCTGCAGAAATCAAAGGGTTGTAACCCTTGGTAACCATAAAGTATCTTTTGGCCACTAGATGCATCCGTTCTCGTACGGGCAGGTCCCAAAAGGTGTCTTTTGACACTTAAACCTCTTGGAGGTGTTCCCCTACATCTATAAATACCCACAAACATGAAATCATTTAGTACATGAAATTTTCCAAGAGTCTTTGCATCCTTTTTACAAAGTTCATATTCATCTTGTGTTCTTTGTGTTCTTTCTTATCTTGAGAGTTCCGAAACTTGAGTATTGTTCGTCGAAAGTTTGTGTATTTGAGTTACCGCTATACACAAATCGAAGTCGTTGTATCTTGGAGACGTTAGCCGTGAACCGTGGGTAATATACGGGGCTATTTCGTCTTAAGGAGAGTGTACCTTACGTGCCTCGACTTTGTTCGTTTCGTCATTTTCCTTCTGATTTCTTAAGCCTCTTTGAATGTCCTTTTTCACGGAATTGTTACTTCCTTGTCTTTACAAGGAAAAATATTCTCAAAGAACACCGCATTTCGAGACTCAATAATCGTTCCATTATGAATCTCCGAAATTTCTGATTTGTGCACCAAAAATCGATATGCACTACTATTGTTTGCATAATTAACCAATAAATATACATATTCTTCCAGTGGTCATTCTTCGAATATTGCCCTTATTCTTTAAAAATAAAAATAAAAATCTAGAACTACAGCTTCCTTATACTTTCTTGCCCAAGCAATATCATTTTCTTTTTTCCTAGTCATGTCGCATTTCATTCATTGCTCCAATAAAAGTGATGTAAAATGAAACGACCAAACAAGACTATATAATCATAAAATTATTCTCATAATCAAAAGTATATGATTTGTACCCAGAAATGATATATGCTCGTGCAGATACTAAACTATGAGCCTCAGAATTCAAGAGACATTTACTAATGAATAAAAGTTATGATGTTTAGTATTTACAGATTATTTAGTTCCTTAGGACAGTATATAATATACCAAGAACTAACTAATCAATGAAAAGTTCAACAATATATAATACAAGATTTATCTTGTTCAATCGGACAATCAACATTGAAATCCAAACAAGGTCTAAAAATGTTTGGAAGTTGCTTGTTAATTTTCCTACATGACCATGCATAACAATTGGTTCCTAGTATACACACGGTAACTAAGAATCTCCTCGTATATATAAGCAATTTTGTTTATATAAACAGTGAGTTTATATAAATCCATGTTGGAATTGTCCTCAAATTAAACACAACCACCTATGTGACAAGCCCATATTCAACTCGAAGCTGTACAAACTGACACAAGACAAGTTACATTAAGCATTAATGCACTTTACATGAGAAAGAAACTAGTCCCACAACACAAATCATACCAAAGCTAAATTCCAAATTATATGGAATGAGCCAGGTAGATTGGACGAACGAGAGTTAAACATGAACTTAAAGAACTACTCTTTTATTTTTGGACAAAACAGAAGGAAAATGACTAATTTGACCAATGATCGGGAGAACGATTTCTACATCTCGAGCACACGGAAGATACTCGGATTCTTGACAATAATATCAAATTTGTAGATGGAGCTAAACTTGGCAAAGTAGGAAGGATTTTTACATCTCGCGCACATGGAAGATATTCGGATTCTTGACGACAATATCATACATGTAGATAGAGTTGAACTTGGCAAAGTCTTTGGGCAAAGAAATTAAATCAATCGACGAAGGTTTGTGGAATTGGAGAAGATCAGGGTCACCACCACGGTACCTTTCCCACCCTAAACCTTTCAAGATTTGCTCCAAACAAGAGTATGACGAGACAGCCTGACCAGTCGGCAAGTGTATAAGAGCCTTCTTTTTCGCGGCATGCTCAGCCGTTGAATTATCGACAAGTTGCATCACGCCGTTATTCTTGAAAACCCATACGCCAGACATCTTTTTTTTTTCTTTGATAAAATAAATATGATCTTATGTGTTTATGATGATAGCTTCTTTAGTGAAAATGAAGCAATAAATTTGAGATATTTTGTAATAGGACTGTAGGAGGGAATATATGGAACAAAAGAGGTGAAGGTGGTGGTGATGGAGTTTGAAGTTAAGAGGGGCTATATATATAAGTATGTATGGGGTGATATAGTGAAGT